TTATTTTAATTATTTCAGTTACTATTTTAATAATATTATTATATTCTATATCATAATTATATAATATATTATATAATAATATTTTTTATTATATTATAGTATAATATATTATAGTTATACTTTTTAACTATGCACAGCAATTCAATCTCATAATTTACCAAACGCTATTACGCCGATTTTGAAACCATCACAGCTACTATAATTATAGTTTACCAAACACTCAGCTGTTTTTTGTAACAATTGTTTTTTTCTTCAGCACAGCTAAAAATAATTTTTCCAAAATCTACAGCACTACTAAACTAAGCCTTCGTATGAGCATATTCTTTCATTTTTTTTTTTTTTGTTTAATTAATTCAAAAGAGCAAAAGTGTTTTGTCTGCGGCTAAATGTGGGACTCAAGGGTTTCGACTTTGGGAGGCATCAGTCGTTTTTTCCTCACGGACAAATGATCAACCTTTTGCTTTTCTTGGGCTAATGGGATCTCTCTTTTCACAAATTATTTTATTTGATTCATCGACTGTGAGACAAACGCAGCATTTGTAACAATTATTTTACGGGGGGGTGGGGATGGGAACAAACGAAATATTACATGGTAAGACAACTTTTGTAACCACTGGCCGGTTGGGGATGAGTGCAAAACGACGTCAATAACAAACACTAACAGTCTGACAACAAGCCCGCAAGAGCAGTTGTTGCTGGGTTTCATCAGATTGTTTTGTTTATATATATATATATATATATATATATACACACACACACACACACACACACACACACACATGTATGTATTTATGTACGTATGTAATGTATTGTATTGTCAAGGTTCTCGTCCATGTTTAAAGTTCTTATCACCCTCCTTTGATCGTTGTCGTTTTCTATATTATTGTCGTTTTTCAAGTTTCTTTAGTTTTGTTGAGTAATTTTCCTTTTGCATTGGTTGAGCCATTTGTAAGGTTCGTCGTTCTTCGGACTGTCTACTTCCTGAGGTTGTTCTGTATCATATTATTGACGCCTTCTCTGTTGTTTTTAGTGATTATCGTTTTAAAGTTAATGCTGTCGTTTATGGTTTACTCTCGTTTCCCAGTTGGCACTCCGACTCGGTGCTATTAAAGAGTATTGTCCTTCATTTGGTAGTTTTCAATTTTCAGGGTGTTTTCGTCTTTTCAAGTTAGTTCTTTTTTAAATGTTACTCTTATTCTTGTCGTTTTTTAGGTCAGCATTATTTTTTTTTTTTTCAGATTGATATATTTTGCGGAATTCATGTATTTTCAACAGTTTTTGGGTTGTTGTCGTTTCTCTTATTTTGTTGTTTAGTAGCTCACGTTATTCTCAGATTTCAGACGACCTTTTTCCCGTTTGATGTCATGTATTACTCCTCGCTTTCTAGGATGCTTTCCTTTTCACAATTCACGTCCTTTATATTTTCCCTAGGGCCCTGTCGGTTTTCAGATTGTTGTGATGTTGTCGTTTACAGATTGCTGTCGTTTGTCAGGTTATTATCGTTTCTGTGTTGTTGTCGTTTTAAGGCATTATCGTTTCCTGGATGGTGCTTTCTTGAGCCTATTGTCGTTAATTTCTTCTCGTTCTTGTCGTTATTTTAAAATTTTTTGTTATTCATGTTTTGCCTTATTATCAGTATGCTGCTGTTTCTAAAGGAAATGTGTGGCAGTTCTCAAAAAAACAAAACAAAACAAAACAAAACAAAACAAAAGAAAAAGGAAACGTGTGGCAAATATAACATAACAATGTTAGAAAGAGTTCTGGTTTTTTCCCATGTTGAAGCCACTACTTAAATAGAGAGAAGCCCAAAGCGAGAGAGAAGCCAAGGATTTTGAATATCCACAACAAACGACGGATTTTGAGGGAAGCATCTGTTAAAATATAAAATTATTGTTAGCATACCTCCTAACAGTTTAAGTTTTTAGGATAGATTGATAAACTAACATAGTATCAGAACGGAAGGTCCTGCGTTTAAACTCTCGTAATTGCACTCTTTATCCTCATTTATCATCATGTGTTGGGTTTTTAATATATCTTAAACTTAAATATTCACGTGTTGAGCTTTCTAATTAATTTATCCACACGATTGCCCATTGTCTAGCCCACACGTGAGGGGGAATGTTAAAGTATAAAACTATTGTTAGCCCACCTCCTAATAGCTTAAGTTTTTAGGATGAATTGGTAAACTAACAAAAGCCCTAATACATGTTAGATTTTTAACTTAAATTTCTAATTTCTAATTTTTAATACATGTTAGATTTTTATTAGGGTTTCCCAAAAAAATCCCAAACTTAGATTTTTGGAGGCATTCTACTTTTGATAGTCCCCTAAACACCAAAAACACAACCAAATCACAAGCATTCTATCGAACACTTAGTGCACACAAAGTTCCTCTAAGATCACTCAAATCACAAGATGTCACTCCAAAAACAGTAAAAGTCTACCTTACACTAAGTTTCAGACCGCGTGTGATTAGACCCCTAAAATTCGCATGTAATTGGAGCAAACGTTACCTTCTGAGCGAGGGTTAAGAAATCTGAGCTGTGGAGGGATCGAGAGGGATTTTCCTCTTCTAGCTGTGGAGTTGGAGGGGAAGTCTTAAAAAATTTTGGTTAAACGACACTGTAACTTATACCTGTAAAGCACGTACAAATTTCTTTCCTCTTCAAACGACATGTAGTTTATAAATGCTTAGTGTTAAAATATTAATTATTATATATTATTATTTGAGAAATCTTAATAAATAACCTTTTTAATTATTGATTTAAAGAAATAGCCCACGTTTAGAAAATTTAAATGCATAACCTTGGTAATAAATTTAATTACTGAAATTTGTCACGCCCTGAAGCCGGGGTCGGTGACGTGGAGGTTCGATTAGGAGTTAAACATTTAATAATTAAAATCAACAGTAAAATATTAAAGCATTCTCCAAACGAGCCTCACTATTTTGCCAAAAATAAATTACAAGAACATCTCAAGAGGCTAAAACTCCCGCCTCTAACACTGTTCAGGGCTACACCCACAGGAACTACCCTACTCATGACTTGGAATTAGCAGCGGTGATACTTGCTCTAATTTGCACGAGCAACATCCTTTACTCCTATTATGGATGATGCACCATATATCCCATTTCACAAATTCTACTTCATAGAATTTGATTAGCTATATCAAAGAATAAATACTATTGAGATATTAACAGGTAATATATGTTATTTAATTTATTTTAGTATTATTATAAATATTTATTGAATATTTATTTACAAAATTTTTCTGTTTATATATAATATTATATGTTAT